GGTTTGAGGCTGATGAACACACTTAAGAAAGGGAACACGGTCCTGTTTTTTGGGTAGGGTATCCTTCTGGTTTGATACTGAAGAGAACAGCAATCGTTTAGATGAGTGTTTCTCAACCTCGGCCACCCTTCTAAAGTGGGGGGGTTACCCCCCCACAATCCCCCCCCCCCCCCCGAAGACAAAGCAAAAAGCTCCCCCACCCTGGCTTTTTGGGGGAAGGAGGTTGAGAAACCCTGTTTTAGATTTCTGCTGTGGAACACTAAAAGATAACATCAGAATGCAACATATAGAGGAAGACTAGCTGGTCTCCATGAGAAAGTCTGACAATTTCAAACTCTTAGCCATTGGAAAGAAGAGCTGTTAGTGTGTGAGCCCCGCGCACGGTGGCCCGTCCAGATGTGAAAGGGGCAGAGGAGATGAGAGATGCTAAGCCCCAAAGGTGGTCAGCTGAGACTGTCTGCAGGAGGCAACCCCCTTGTGACCCTCGGATGCAGCCCCAGAAAGGGGGTCTTCTGGTCTCCTCGGATTTATCTTTCCGGCTAAGTGGGTTTCATTCTGAACCATCTTCCTGAGAAAACAGCTCCTAACTTGTAATTTATTAATTCCCCCCAAGTATCTAAGACTCCTGGGCGAGTTGTATGGCAGTCCTATCCCGAAGGATGGTTGGGCAGCCTGTCTGGGGCCACCAGTGTAGTTAGCGTCCCTTAGGATGCACCGCGACCTTAAATCGTGCCTTTGTGTAACTTTCTTTTTTTAATACAACCCCTCTCTTATGTGTCAACACCGCCTCTGAATTCGTATTTATGTCTTTTCTTTTCAGAATGTGTTGGGCCTGGCCTTTGTTGCGACCGTGCCGCCTCCACTGGAAGAGTGGCAATGAGGAACAGTGGAAAACCTTTCAGGAGCAGGATCCTTTGCTCTCGTGGACCCACGGAAGGGGTGGTTCTGGGCACTGGTGCTGAGGTGCCCTCTGCCCACCCATCCGGGCAGGACTTGGAGGCCAAGGAAGAGGGGCTAAGCCATAAGCAGTGGCGGGCAGCTGTGGCGGGTGGCATTTTATTCTCATCAGGGGCAGCTTAAAAGTTGCTCTCGAGAGCCGGAAGGCTTTCTGCGTTTTTGAACAAGATACTGATCAGGGCTAAAACATCGATCTTCCAACTCAGCAGAAGGTGTGTGTGGGCGCATGAGAGAGAGAGAGAGAGAGAGGAAGAGATGTTCAGCTTACCACACGCTCTGGCAGCTGCCACACAGAGTTCTTCGGCAGTGTATTCCCCACGGGTGAAGTTTAAGACGCCGGCAGTGTCTGGGGCCATCCGGGGAGAGTTTGGAAGGTGGTAAAGGTAAACCTGGAGGACCCCTGACAGGCTGGGGGAAAGGCTGCTGTGGGAGACGTTCCCAGCCAAGGGGGTTTCTCCACTGGTGGGAAGCATTGCTCAGACCTGTGGGAGAGCAGAAGATTTGAACCGAGATTCGTTCTTGGTGATTGCAGAGAGACAAGGGGGAATCCCCATGCTGGTCCAAGCGTTTGGAAAGTTTAGAGCAGGCAATGTGCATTCACACATATGGCTCACACGGTGCAGTTTGCACCCACAAAATGGCTGCCACGACAAACACGGTTATGGTGGGATCTGAACAAGCTGGGGCAGGGCTGGGAAACACCCAGACGGTGTTGCTCAACCTCATCGACTTTAAGATGGGTGGACTTCAGCCGTATTTGGTGACCATGTTGTAAAGCTCAAAAATTTTGGGAAATTATTTATATTAAAATGAAACACATTTACGCATTGAATTTCCTAGCCACCCTGCTATTTCTCTATCTAACTTTATTAAGCCTCATATTCCCACAAAGTATACTGAATCAGCTCTGTATATGGAACTTCTGCACTCTGAGTACACTCAATTTCTTCTGCTAATTTAGCTCTGGGAGTATGCCCAGATGTCTAAAATAACTTCATATTTCAAAAGTAAATCTGACAGAGAATTTTACTCAAGTTGGAAAGCATTTATTTATTTATTTATTTATTTATTTCATTTGCATGTCACCCATCTCCCCCAGAGGGTGACTCTGGGCGGCTCACAATTAAAATCAAACATCAAGAACAGTAAAAAATATAAATATCCACATTAAATTAGCTAAAAAAAATCATACTATATAAAAAGACTCTATCCATAAAAAGACTACAAAATTCAAGATGATGGGAAGGGCAGACTCAATTCCAATGATGCACTGTTGGGTTATGACTTTATACTTGATCCGAAAGTGGGTTTCAAAATGACAGGCTACAAGAATGACATGGAAAAGATGTTACACTGGACATACAAAAGTAACCAGCTGATGTCTTAATAATTAAAAGGGATACACAAATAACAGACCAAGAGAGTGACCTGGATAATTTTCCGATATTGGATTTACAAAAGAATCTTGTTAAATTTTGTGAGAAGGGACAAAGAAAAAAATGGAAAGAAATCAAGTTCCAGGGCATTATTTGAAGGACATTATTACTTTTATTGTTAAAAGTAAAAGGAAGGAATATAAAGTAGGTTTATTTGATCAAGGTTAAAATAGGTACGTTACTATCTCTGGTAACCCTTAATGGACTTTTGCTGACATCAGGACTGAAATGACGAGGCTTTAAGGATTTGGGAAGAAGAGGTCATTTGTTGTATCTTAAGAAGTGATAAGTCACTAAAATTGTTTATACTTGTGATGAAGGTTGGGAGTCATTTCTTTGTATATTTCTTTTCTTTTTCTTCACTATATTCTTACTTTTCTTTCTTTTCTATTTTTCTTTCTATTTATTTTTTTCTTTCCTGCACCTTCTAGTTTTTCTTTTTATTCTTTTATTTTTTTTAGTTTGTATTAATTTTTATTGTTGTAAATTGTAATCTTTAATAAAATTACTATAAAAATGACTTTATATAGGAGCTTGTACCACATCCAACATTTAGGTTTCTCTTAATATCGAATCTCTAGAGCTTGGACAGAAATTACTGTAATCCTTAATTTCATTTTACAGTTTATACTGTGTTGACTATTGCTGTTGATGTTCATGTATTATTTGACAATGATTGGTAGTTTTAAAAATGATATGGTACACTTCGTCGTTACTTAGACTAATGAATGAAATGCTGAAAACTTTAACCTAACTCTACAATGCCTGGCAGTTTAATGTTTATCTACTTTGTGCTTTAGTTTTACTTCCTTGTGTCCTTTTTTCTGCTTTTTCTTCTTTTCCTTTCCCCCCTTCCTATTTCACTTTCTCAAAAATGCTTGATAATTCCTTTAAGAAGAGCAAAAGAAAGCCGGGGCAGAGCTCGGGAATCGCGGCAGAACCCACTCTCTTGGCCCTGCGGATCCTGGGCTTTGGCCGAGGGGCGGGGGACGGAGGAGCCTCCAGGTGCTTGGGAGAGCGCCGTGGCGTGGTGGTTCACTTAGCAGGAGACCATTCCTTCTGAACTGTCTTGATTTTGCAGCCAGCTCTGATCAGGCCCGGCTGCGCTGGGGTGAAGCTTCAGAGCGCAGGGGTAGAAGCCCCAGGCCCAGAGCTGGGGAAGGTAGGCTAATTGCTCTGTCCTTGTGGCGACAACTTAATCTCCATCAGGGCTACCAGAATCTGACTCTGGCTGTGCTCTGGGAACGCAGACTGGGGATCGCACCCCTTCCTTTCTCTCCAGCAGAGAGGCCCACCTAAAGCAAGGGCAGGCCTCCCAGATGGAAAAGCTTCATCCTTTCCGACTGGAGGCAGAACTCGGGGGAAACGGAGATGGAGACGGAAGGTGCCCTGGCCGAGCTTGGGGGGCACCGGCTCCCCACAGCTCTGATGACCAGCTGGAATTGCCCCCACCCCACCAGCAGGGGAGCGAAGGGACGAGAAGCAGAGGACTTGGCTCGGGGTTTCAGGTCACCTTAGATTTAGATTTGTTTTATATCCCGCGTTTATTATTTTTTGTAAATAACTCAAGGCAGCGAACATACCTAATCCTCTTTCCTCCTCCTGTTTTCCCCGCAACAACAACCCTGCGAGGTGGTGGGGCTGAGGGAGAGTGCCTGGCCCAGAGTCCCCCAGCAGGCTTCCATGCCCAAGGCAGAACTAGAACTCAGAGCCTCCCGGTTTGCAGCCCGGGGCCTTTGCCGCTGGCTGCCCCAAACCGGCTCCGCTGAGACGCAGGCAACCGCTTTGCGCAGGAACTGCTCTCGGCCTGCGCGCTCATCAGTCCCGTATTTCTGAGGGCTCTGCAGAAACCCGGGGATCGGGCATCCCTCGGTCTCGAGGCGTTCATCAGGTGGGGCCTGCTTGCTTCTTTCACGGCTCTGGGCTCATAATCCCCCCCCCAGGAAACTCTTGGTGCTCCGCAAACCTCGGAGCCTGGCAGAAGGGCGGGCACCTGGGCTCTGCCTTCCTGGCCCCCCTTTCAGGCGAGGCCGCCAGGAGAGCTGCCCGGGCACCGGCTGCTCCTTTACCCGCCGGCGCCCTCCAACCG